TTGTTGTTGTTGTTTTATGTTATAAAAGAAACACGATTTTTTCCCCAGGTTTTCCCAGACCTACACCCGAGACTCCTGCGGCTTAGCCTGGATTTGAATTTTAGTCTCCGAGATTTATAATGGCATCTTTGTGTGGTGTTTTCCTGCTTCGTGCAGGCTGCTATGGGTGCAGACTGCTGGATTGCAGGAGTCTGGTACAATCCATCCAGTCGTGCTGCTGAAGCCAATACTGTGGTTTATTTCAAGATAGCTGGACAAGATTTTCACATCTATGCGCTAAAAACTGAACCAGTCAGAGTTGAATTTTGTTATATATGTCTGTGGCTACTGGCCATACGTAGTTGTAAAAGGACTGCAGAAAAGTCCCTTTAGAAATGCTTATAGAAATAACAAAAATCACTTTAGGTCTGTTAATATACAGTACCAAATACTGTTCCGATCATGTGTTGGAAGGTGATGTACAATATATGGCTCGTCTGTAAGAGCTACAGGTAGCCTTTTCAGTTAGACAATAGGAGTTGTATGTGTTTGAGAAAATTATAATTGCACCTTTTTTTTTCCTATTGCAAACAAACATTTATCTGCATTATTGTAATATATTAAAATCTTCATAAACTTGACTGATGATACCATTTCTTTATTATTTCCTTTGAATCATTCCATACATTAAAAACAATTAATCATCACAACGACAGGTGACAATACAGCCCGTGTGAATGTCCCCTTTCGAAAATACATTCAGTTGGTACGCTCCTGACAAAAGCAGAAAAGTTAGACAAGTTCTTCGAGAACAGAAATAACTGAAAATCTTAAAACTCTTAAGATGAGCTAAAAAAAAAATTGGGAACCTCCTCAACCTTTGTTTCAAGGTGTCTTTTTTTAAAAATAGGTAATGCAATGAGGTAATGTTTAAATAATTTAGTAAATATAAGTAAACATTGATAAGTCATTTGTTCATCGTCTGAATGTTTCTCACCCTTGTGTTGACAACAGCTGTGAATCATATGTGACATTTTACGAACTGCCCCACAAACACAAGGGGTTGCAGCCAAAAACATTTTAATAACAATAAGGAAAATTTTCTCCTGCGTTTGGCAGGTACAGGCATCTGGTGGACCTCAAATAACAAAGACTAGATAGACTACAAGGGGACATGATCCAAGCATTCAGAATCCGCAAAGGCACTGACAGAGTCACCACAGAGGACTGCCTCAGAACCGACAGTGAAACACCGACCCGATTCAGAGTAAGAGCTATCTTTCAGGTCGGTTCTCTAAGACCCCACCCAGTGCGCAAAGCACTTTTACTAGTGTCTCTCCTGTGCATGGAATTCACTCCAGTTGTGCGTCTACACTTAAAAATGTCCCGGCAAGTTGGGGAGCTGAGGGTCACAAAGATATATACTGAGGCACCAAAGACGCTATGCATGAGCTTAGAACTGGCAGCATCTACTGCGTCTCCAGTGTCAGCGTGGAATATGACATTTAAACATCACATATCTAGTTACAATCCGGAAATGAAAAATGAACACATTTACAAAGGCATTCTCACACAGTGCCATATAACATTTAACCACAATTCTGCTGCGTAGGCGTGTATCTATAGTACATGGATATGGAATTGTACTATGTAAATCAGAATATAGTGCTCGGCAGGTGGAGTCATTGTGACAACTCACAGGGGTCGATGAACAAAGAATTGAGTCCACATGTTAAGTCATAGTTTGAAGCCCGACAGCACAAAACCAGCACTAGCTGAAGCTATGGTCCACATTCACTGGTTACAGAACAAACGTGAAAATATGTAGCACCATCCCAAATCCTATTTGTTCCACCATATTACTGTAACAGGCTCCTTCATACTGACCGGATGTTTGCAAAGCGCTGAAATGGTTTGCATTTCTTCTTTAGTGTCTCAGCAGTGAGGTTTTTTCCAAAGGCAAGCACTCAAAGCACATGGCTGATGACAGCGATGCATCGAAGTAACACCAACGAAATCGCAGTCCGCCGAAATGCCGGCTGGTGGCCTGCTTTACATCCAGCGTTCTTCCCCGTTCTAAGGACGCGTTCCTCTTTCAGCCCGGCTGGCCTCCGCCAGCTCACGCCAAGCACGGCTGGGTCCTCGTGTCGCGCGCCGTCCGCAGCGGATCAAGTACAGGGCGCGGAGCAGTGTGTCACCGTGTTCGGGGTGCTCTTCCGCACCGAGCTGCTCACGCTGAAATCTGGCCTGCTGCTGATGGAGCTGTCCTTCATGGAGCCTTTGATGGAGCTGCAGTTCCACTTGTAAATGGAGATGACCTTGTGGCCACAGCACTCCTTGGTTATCAGAAAGAGCTTCTTCAGCACTGCCTTCCTGAGCAGGATGTAAACCCAGGGGTCCAGAATTTGGTTCCAGGTCGCCATTCGGACAGCAAGGAGCATCCTTTCATAGCTGCGGTCATCCTGGGTTTGAGTGCTTCCTATTATAACATTGACCTGCAAGAGCAACAACGAAAGAACACACACACAATAAAAAAAGCATTGGTGACGATGTATAATGTTCACAAACAAAGTGGCTCTGGATTTGACCCACAGTACAGTCAGTACAGTGTGAATCACCACAGCTGCTGGTTTGGACCAGTCAAGGGGTCTGAAGGATCTCAGATTTATTACGTTACAACTCCATGACTCAGAACCACAGATCTCTGACTTACAGCCAAATCTAAGAGCTTCATAGCCAAAACTGTCTGGCCCTCTTTTTTAAGAAAAACAAATGGTCACAACTTATCAGTTTGCAGACCGTGAATAAAAAGAGGTGCTTACTTTTCTCCCTTGGAATACATTCTATACTGTACAGTCCAGGCTAGAGGGAAGCAGGGGTTAGGGTTGCAATCCCTGGTGAAACACTGCTGTTGTACCGTTGAGCTCACCCATATTGCTCCAGTAACATGCCCATCTGAATGAATGGGTACAAGTTCAAGCTGCACTGGGTACGAATACCGGTCAAATAAACTTTGTGGGTTATCTTTTACATTCTCCGTCAGGAAAGAAAACAAAAGAGGTCCAGCTCTGAAACTTCAGCTCCCCCTGGAGTGTGATTTCTGAGCTCCGGAGTGAAGTTCAACTGGAGCTTGGCTGGCGAGCGTGTTACAGAGATGCAAACAGCTGTTTGACAACAGACAGGAAGTGAAAAACGGAATTTCCAGGGTCAGCAGGCGAGTAAGGAAACAAAAGGTGTTCCGGTGTAGGACAGCACTGTATTGTCATCGTATCAATAACATAGCCCATAGATCTTTCTTCAGAAAAGTGAAACATGACTTAATATGATGATCTATTTGGAGTTTGCCTGGTCTCCCATGTCTCCGCTAGGAGCTCTGGTTTCCTCTCCCCTCCCAAAGACATGCTGTGGAGGCTAAGTGGTGCATCTCAGTTGTGTGTATCCCTGCGACAGACCAGAGTCCCACCCAGGGTGTCCCACCTGACCTTGCACCCTAAACTTGGGGGACAGGCTCCGGGTTTGCCACAACCCACATCAGGAATAAGCAGCTTTCTCATCCTGGACAGATGGATGCCACAGTAAATTATATTCCAGTTAACATCTGTTTTAATCACCCCAACTATCATTTGTGTCAGTATCAATGCTAACAGGTCTGCGACTGACTGCTCTAATGAAAAACATTACTTAACACAAATTTTAATTAATAAGAAATCAAGTGGGACCATTAAACTAAATGGGTGGGATGATTCTTGGCAGCTCAGAACAGGAAACCAAGTGTACCTACAGGGAAAAAGAAATAAGCTGCTTTCAAAAAGACCCCTGCTGCAGCCTTTGGAAGGTCACTTCTAGCAATTTGTCTGCCATTAAGCCACAATTTCATATCTGTGCTCTGGATACAAGACCTGTGCTTGGTAGCTGAAGCACGTTTAAAGAGAAAACCAACAATGTCAAACGCAATCAAAGTTAATGTCTTTCCCCTGCTAAAAACAATATGTTCGAAATCTTGCTGCCCTTCGGAACTCTAGGAAATGAAGCTCGAAACTTCGGAAATGAAGGTGGAATCATTTCCCACTTTACTGATCCAAACAGAACCGCTGCCACTTGCAGGAGCTCGTTTGAAGTTGCCTAGGAAGGCCTGTGGGTCCTGAAGCTACTTTGTCTCGAGCCGGAGGGGTGGAACGTAGGCTGGACTGACGCCTGCATCACTTTCAAATCCCCCCCGTCACTGTGAGCAGAATGAGAGAGGTGTATAGAAGCAGCTCGACAGCAGCACACCGGAGCAATTAATAAAGTGAAACCCAGATTTATTTTTTAATTACGTCAACAGAATACAAAATTATTTAAATAGCTGTGTTCGACCACCGTACTGGGGCTACTGAGCATCTGGCCAGTGCAATCCATTCCACAGCTGGATTCTGTACTGTCTAGCTCCTTATTTAGTTATTTGCTATCTATCAGGATGTAGTTAGTGGTTACGGTGCTGGTTGTTTAGAAGTACAGCAATGGAGTAGGCTGGTCAGGCCACGGGTCGGGTTTTGCCCTGCTCTTCAGGCTGAATGGCTTCAATAAGAACAGGGATGTCCGGTCCTGGTCCCGGATGGCCCCAGCCTCACCGGGTTTTCCAAGTCTCTTTGAATCAGCAGCTCCTGAAAAGCTGGAAGGAGCTGTCCAAGCAGGTCCAGCTGAGCCACGAACCAGGTGGCGTAACTCTTTATGAGCTAAGCTGGAATGGAAACCCACAGACCCACCGGACCTCCAGAAACAGGACTGGACACCCCTGAATTAGAGCTCATACACCCACCCAGTAGAAGTGGGGTATTTAAGGTATAAGGTCACTTCCTCAGGCTATCAGTTTCAGTTTTCATTATGGGTGGTGAAGCGTGAAATGAATAATATATCAAGACTGACTGTCAGAGTCAAAGGTATTGATTGTTTCCTGAACGTCAGACCTATTGATCAGCTGTAGAATTGGTTATTATACATCCATTAAGATTTGTAATGCAAAGATAAACTGGGGATTGTATAAGGTATAGACCTATCATAAGAGCAGTACAACTCCGAATTGTAACTTATTATTCACCATTCCGCTAATTTTGTTTTCAAATAAGTAATGTGCACATTAGATCTTTGGGAAATTGAAATAATCAATATTTCATCAAGGAAAGGGGGGAGGATGGAAAGTGTTACATTAGTTTAAATCAGGAGGAACACATTTGTGGACATTCTTATAGTAAAGGCAAATCAAGCAAAGTAAACATTATGCTACAGCAAAAAGATGCAAGTTCTCCCGTTTCAAAAAAGGTTTATCCTGAAATCACAGTCATATTTCAGTCTGTAGTTGTAAGATGGGGAGGGGAGATGTGTTGTGTATTGTATACTAATAAAAAACAATTTTAATTTGAAAAATAAAGATGGAGAATCAATACTTAAGTAATTATCACAGCACTTCCTTGCTGTGATAACAAAATAGGCTATAAACAATTAGGAACATGCTATTTTGAATTCATTAAAAAAAAACTCAAAATCTCGCAGTAACAAAGACTATGGTAAATCAATTCAAGGCTAGGATGTTTAGGGGTATAAATACAAAAACACCTCTTTAGTGCCAGAGAATGCATCAAAACTTTCTGCCTTGATAACAGATAATCTTGTCTGATGCCTTCAACACCAGGAAACAAGACAGGACATTTAGATACTGTGCCCTCCTTGCTTTCTCCTGTGGTGTACAGTACAGAAAAACAAAATATATACCACTTCACCTCACAACACACGTCATATCTCCACTGGAGGACAGACGTAATCTCATTTGACAATGCATAAAATGAAATTAAAACAGCTTAGACTTAAAAATGATCATGTTTAAAATGCACAGTTTCATCTTGGTTATAATGCAAAAAATAAACATTGCACTAGCGAGACGTCATGTAGAATATTTTTTATGATTTTGGTAAAAAAAAACATTACTGCAAGTGCAGGTAAGACTGACCAGATGAATTTCGTAGCTCAAAGGAATGTCCTACACTTACAGGCTAAAACAACTGAATTTTTGAGCCTTGAACAGAGAAGACAACAAGGAAACCTGATTCGAATGTAACTCCTTGAACAGCCTTGAACAGAGCCTTGAACAGAGAAGACAACGAGGAAACCTGATTCGAATGTCCCTGAAAGTACTGGCATAAGAAACAGCTGTGAAACTTGAGCCAGAGGACACAGGGAGAAACTGAAGGAAGTGGGTTTCTAACTGGGAACTGGAAGCATTTTTGACACAAAGGGTTGTGGGAGTCTGGGAACAAGCTATCCAGCCATGTTGTTGAAGCTGATTCCCTGGTTTGTCTTAAAACACATCTAGATGAGAGCCAGGGATCACTTAGCTACTGACACCCAAAAGACCTAGAGGGGCCAAAGAGATGCTGTGTCTCATCTCGTTCTTAACCTTCCTCATCTTCCTTGGGATTTTAAAGCCTTTTGTTCCCCCCATCCATGTCCTTGCACACCTGCAGAAAGCACACACCTCTGTTCCTTACAACGCTACTCCACATGAAGAAACTGCCTCTGTTTTTTTGCTGTAAACTCTTGCCTGACCCTTTCACACCGTCCTGCACCGATAACCCTAATGTCTCATATTTGTATGTATTTGAGAACGGGAAAAAAACAGGCTCTAACTTCAAAGCAAAAGTAGAATTAATTCATGTGAGGGATGGACTCTAATGGAAAATAAATAGAGCCAGGGGCTGGCTTCTAATTACACTCAATCCAAAGAAATGAAAAACTGCAAACCAGTTGACTCTTTACAGACGACCTGCTTTTGCCCGGGAGTGGAAAGGTATTTCCTTCTCAGCCTACATCTGACGCATTTAAACTCCAGGTTAAATCTCAAATCGAATCTAAAATAACTCTCCTAATCTTGTCCTGCAATCTGCCATCACTTACCAGTCCCTAAATGTAAAACCCCCACCCTCACTCGCTCTGACGTGTGGAAGTATTGTGTAAGTGGTATGCATGTGTCCAGAATCTTCCACATGACACCTACAGTACTATTAAGATTTTACTCTCTCGGTGGCCAGAAGGACGTCAATGTGCATGTGCATATTGTTTAAAAGCCATGGATGGTGAGAAACATGGGATTTTACAGTTAACATGAATCCTCCCTTCCAAACAAGCGATTGAAAATTGGAATTTTTTTTCTTGCAATTCAGTCTGGTTTTGAAATTCCAATTCCCCTGCTTTCTCCTTGCTTCCTCTCCAACTGTATATTTGTTTTGTGTCAAGAGGGCAGGGATGAAAATGAGACTGTGGTCTCTTTTTTAATAAAACCTATGCACGATGGTGTACCACAAAGAATAAATGTCATTGTTGTTCCACAACGACGCTGGTGAATACTCTTTTTTTTAAGGTGTATTAAAAGCTAACAACAGACTGAAAGGAAATAAAAATAATCTTCTCCAAAACACTCATTTTAGATGCACACTGGAGAATTTAAAATCAAAGAAACGTTTGGAAAAATAAAATATATTTTAACCCCATGGTCCCCCTCATCTACATTTAAATATATTTTCAGCACATATTGACATTGACATTGGCATGTTTCAAATGTATATTTACAGTACATACCAAAATGTGTCTGGAAGGCTTTCAAGTACAAGATGGTATATATACATACACAGTACTGTATATATTAATGCACTTACTTGCATTTTTCAAATGTATTTCAACATTTGGCAGATTCTGCTCTGTGCTACAATATTGCTACATGTGTGGAAAATGCTCTTTCTTGTCATTTTCCAAATGTGTCTCTATTAGGTGGCAAGAGACCCAGCCATTTGAAGTGCACCATTTACATCTACTAAAGCAGCTACTGTGAGAGGACTGAATGCACCATACAAGAGGAATAAAATGTGAGATGGCTGGCTAAGCACAAGAAATAGACTGCTGTATTTGTTTTTTTCCCTCAGTGCCTGTGACAGTTTGCACAAGACACGCCTGCAATATTTAATATTTATTCACAGGCTTGCTACTTCTTTAGCCTGGGACAAAATGTGCGCTTAGTACCCTTTGTAATAGAAAAATTCAAAATAACAATATATTAATATTTACTTTAAATCCCTTTTGTCCTCCAGCAAATTTACTTTCTATTCAGGTGAAATATTTCACATCCACGGCAGATCTGAGCTGGATATTCTATCGTGTTTCAGTCGATATCATCGGGTGGATTCTGTTTATCAGAACCACATTTCATTCTGTGCTGAAAAACATAAAGGGGGATTAAAGTACAACTGCGCTGTTTTCAATGAACCACACTCCTGCTTTGTGAGTCTAAGAAATCCGTCAGTCTGACTTTCTACTGCACATGGGGGTGTCCAGTAAGAACGAGTGTTGCTCATTTCGGGAGAATGTGCTTATCCGGCGGACCCCGCCAGTGCAAGTGGAATAAAAGCTTTCCAGGAAACAGCAAAACTGCTCTCTAGAGCACCATGGCAGGCTGATTTCTGTCCGGTGCAGCACATACCAGAGATGATCTACAGGCTCTTACCAGAAAAGGGCCCCAGCAGATGCAGGACACCAGCATGATGGCCAGCAGCTGGCAGATCATCTCGAAGTGGTGGGACGTCCCTTTCCTGTGCCCCTGGTTCTTCATCTTGGAGCGGATGAGGGTGACCCCGGTGACCGTGTTGCACAGGATGGAGACGGCGAGGGACAGCAGGCCCAGGACGGAGAAGAGCATGGGGAAGAAGACGTCCAGCCAGTCGCTCTTGCCCATCTTGAAGAAGCACCAGCTCCCGGACTTCTGCACCTCGTAGGGCTTTCCGGCCACGATGGGCAGCAGGGCGACCAGCATGGCGGACAGCCAGATCACCGCCATCAGCTTCTTCATGTGCCTGGACGTGACCTTGGTGGAGTGGAAGATGGGCATGGTGACGCCCACGCAGCGCTCCACCGCCATCACGCTGCCCAGGAGCAGGGGGCACAGCCCGAAGAACACCATGGAGGCCCCGAAGAAGCCACACAGGACCTTCTGGGGGTCGAACCTCTCCCACTCTTTGTGCAGGCAGTACACGTGCAGCACAATGGAGCCGTTGATGAGGTGCCCCAAAAAGTCCGTGACAACCAAGCCGGTCGCGAAGAGCAGGAAGGAAGCCTTGGACTTGAGCTTGAAGCGCCGGTAGGCTTTCACCAGGATGAAGAGCGCCAGGCTGTTGGACAGGATTCCCACCGTCATGGAGATGATGGACACGATGACCGACAGCTCCACCCTGGTGCGGGTGGTGTTCGAGGAATTGACCGCGCTGAGTCCCAGCGTGACCGTTATGTTGCCAGACATGGCTGTCTCACGGGGAAGCCTGGAATTATAGAAACAAAATTGTTTCAGGGAAGTCTGATGCACATACTGCGGGATGGCCTCCTGATCGGAATATCACACCGATCCTTCCATCTTCCGGGGAGAGAGAGCGCCTTCAGATTTCACGCGCTTGAAAGTACTGTACATCACTTGTGAGAGCTTCCCCTTCGAAACCTGCCTGCCGGCACCGACACTTTGTGACCCGAACACGACAAAGCCAAGGCTCACTCCCCTGCACTGAACTGGGGGTGGCCACAGCCTGGAGGGGCTTCAAACTCCACAGACTTGAACTTGAACTTGAACTTTATTGCCGTATGTAACCGGTACTGGTACAATGGAATTCTTACTTACAGAAAGTCTCTCGTTTGTAAAACAAGTGTAAAAAACAAAACAAAGTGCAAACAGTGCATCAAGACAATGTACAAACAAACAACAGACAATGTGCAAGTAAACACGCAGACAGTTTGAATGTAAACAATACAGACGTGTAAATAATGACTGGAGACGTACAATTAATAAATTACAATGAGGTAGATGGTGATGGTGTAGGTGTGGTCCGAGGGGGATGGCTAATTGTGTTCGCCAGTCTCACTGCTTGTGGATAGAAGCTATTGAAGAATCTAGTGGTAAGTGACCGTATGCTCTTGTATCTCTTGCCTGAGGGCAGTGGGGTGAAAAGCTCATGCCCGGGGTGGTGACTGTTGAACTAAGCATTCAACAGACCAAATCACCCCTTTCCAGGGGTTCTGTAACAAATCTTGCAAAGCAGTGCTCTCCAGACAATTTCTTACTTGGCTTTCAAAACCACTGGGATTCCATTCGTTCTCATTTCAAGGCACGCGGCTTTTAAAATGATTATTTCAAAAGTTGACATGGACAACAGGAACCCCATGTGAAGCATGAGCGTGGCTTGCTAATTAGAATTTTGCCCTTTTGACATTTGAAAGCAGATAAGTGAAAACCACTGGCATTTTGACAATACTGGGCAAAACTTTCCACTCTGAGTCACAACACAGTTATAGTTAAATTGTTGCAAAACAGAAAAGGGTCAGAAATTAAAGTTTAATTAACTAAAGGTGCATAGGATCTTGAAGGGATTGCTCAAAGCTTATTCACCGGCTAACTTCTTTGTTCTAAACAAAATAAGACCTAGAAAAACGGCCCACAGAGGCCTTTAAAATTACAATTGATCTTATTTTTTCTCAAACATTTTGATTTCTTCTTTTACATTTAAAAACTGACAATGTAACTCATAAATTCTCTATCGGGGCAGCCTGATAGGCGTTGAGCTTCTCCACCGATTTCAAATGGGTTCATTCAAAAATGTATTTTTATCAAAGGATTTGTGTCAGATTTTTCTTAAGGTACAGGAGAAATGAAGTCATCGAAGTATAAACCTGGTTCTAGGAAAACACTGAAAACGAACCTATCAAGATATAGTGCAGTATAATCTTTATCTCTTGAACAGTCGTGTCCGTGCTACACACGGTAGTTGTGTATTTGATTTTGATTTGATTTTCCCAACCAAATGCGAACATTCTTATTAAAAGCTGTTATTTTTCTAGTTCATTTCTGTTTCAGAAAAAAAAAACAAGAATATTTCAATTTACAGGAGTGTCACAGCCGCACACTTCAGCGATTACTGACCGCTGGCCGATGTACACAAAAGCTCAGTGTACTTTCAGCTGTTTAATATTTGTAGTAGTAGGTTGCTTCAACGCACCTTTTCTTTTGCTAAACATTTTAACAGCGACACCCCCAAACATCTCAGAAGCTCAAGTATAGTTTACTATAACAGTGTTTTCTGTTTATCAAACCTTTAAGCCATTATTTATAAATGGGGAAAAAAAAACATTTAATCAAGGGGAAACTTCACATCCTGCACGCTCGAACAGAACGCTTTTAACGCAACTGCGCGATCTTTGTTTTTTTAAACTTTTTTTTTAAAACAAATAACCCAGTTTGTAACCATAGGAGTCAACAAGATTAAACACACTCATCGGAGCGTGTTCAACGTTTCACCGCGGCCATCGACAAGCCAGAAAAAAAAATAAAAAATAATCATAGTAAATGTAAAAGAAATTACCTGGTACTAGGGCGATCGCCGCGCTCCTGTGCGAGAGCTGTGCTGAGGGTTCGCCTCTGAGCCCCGCTCGCTGTGTGCTCGGCTCCGGCCCGAGTGGCGAGTCTGCGGGACGCGGCGGCTTTATAAAAAGTACCCGCTGAGAGAGAGACGTCAGCTCACACTTGAGCCCAGGCTCCTTATAGCAGCCTGCTGAGCGGGCGGCGCGGTGGGGAATATGCGCATTTCTTTTTTTTCAACAGCGCTCTCCTGCAATCAGCGCACCTTTAGAGCGCGGAGACGGCCCCCCCCCCAAAAAAAAGCACAACTACTGCATTTGCATTTAAGTCTCCTTGGTGCAGTGCATGGACCCGACTTGGCCTCCGCAGTGACACTGCTCAGTTCGGAAAGAACTACATGTTGACTCATATTGACTTCCATGACGCTTTCGTGGTGTGATTTATACCCAGATAAACGGGCTATAGGGCTGTACGCCCTCCGACGAAAGCGGTCTCGCAACAGCCTCGTTGATCTGTGCACCTCTTTGGTTTCATTCTAGGACTGTTATGGACCACCGGGTACTGCATGTAGGCAGTCTGGGGCTGATAGTGTCCTGTCCAGTACAGTGTTTGCGGATCTGAGAGGGAGAGCACTTAACGCTATCACTGCAACAGAATGACAACAGGCAGCCGGAGTCGTGCGTTAGGAGAGGGCAGCGTGCTCCAGCGAGGGCTGTGCCCCCAGGACGAGGAGATGCACGGAGCTCGATTCCCTTCCTGGAGGACTTAACTCTCTATGAGGCAGATGGACAGAGAGAGCGGATCTTGCCGTTTAATATCCGAATGCGAGCTGAAAGTATCGCATTACACAGACATATATAGTTCAATAGACATCTATAGCAGGGAACGACAGGCTGGTAGAGTTGTGTTGATAAACGCAGTATTTCTTTTTTAATTTAATCATTAACGTCTTAATCTCCCCGTCTATGGTGTGATTAAAATTCTAGTTCGCCTAGCTCTGCTGCTTTTGTGAATAAGGACATAAGGGTTAAGAATGCATCAGTGATTTTGGACCACGGGAATGATGTTGTGCCATCCAGGTTGTTAGTCCCGGGAACCTGTGACAGACACAGGGGACACATCTCACTCATTGCTGGGACTCACGCTAACTCTGAATTCTCCAACCTCGCTCCTTCCAGAATTGTGCGCAAATTGAATGTCACCTTTGTCACGTTACCGTATTTGACTGCTTCCCCGCAGTCGGGTTTATGCGCTGTCACCAGCGTTAGCCGGTGGTCGTATTGCAAGCCAGTGAAAAACTTTTTATATTATACATTATTAAATATTATTATTATTAAATATTATACATCACATTTTACCACGAATTTGCTACCTTTTCCCGCGGCTTTTGCCATAGTATACCACAGTAAATCATTAGGACTGTAAATGCTTAAGTCGTGTGTGGCTTTGTCCAAACAATTTAAATCAGCTGTTTGTCTGTTTTTTCTAACAGAAAATCGATTATTTCTCCTATGTCGCCTGCTTGGCGCTTTTATGAGGGGTGTGTATACAGTAGCCTTTTTTCCTCCATGGCCTTATCTGGGCTAATCTTCTGTCATTATTCGTGCAGTGGCACCTGAGCATGTGTGATGATCTGTAATGTTCCTCCTGGTCTGTTACTGTACAAAGAGGCCCATTTCCTAAATTATCTACATCTGAGTTACCTCCTGTCCTCAGCCTCACTGAGCCAGTGGCAGTTTTTTAGTTAAGAGGAAGCTTTCATCTCTGTATAAACAACGTGTACAAAAGCAGAGGCTGAGCAGTGCAGTGGGACTGAGACAACATGTCAGCAAAGAAGTACAAAAACCTCTTCTGTTCAACAAAGCACATGATGTTTTGCTGTCAAAGAATCATAGAATAGATTTGAGATTTGTTTCTTTCCTTTAAAAATTTGCCCCCTGAAAATATCTCATGAAACCTGCCTCATCATAACAAACAGCTGCTCAGAACCTGTTGACTTCTTTTGAATTCTAAATTTCCTGCCCCGGTGAAATTTCTCCTTTTGAATGAAGTCAGACTTCAGTTCTAATTCAATTACTGTTGTTTGCTGGGAGTTCAGACATTTCAAATGGGCTGTTTTATTCCCACTAAATATGTCCGACATGTGGGGATTTTCTGTCCATGCAGACTACACTCCAAAGCAGTTTCGCTCTCAAGTAAACAGGTTAACTGAACACCTGATTCTAGTGACATTTGTGTAATGAAGTACTCTAGGGTCACAGATTTTCTCCTCAAGAACACAAATTTCTTTTATGAATACATCATTTAATATCGTGCTATCTGAGCAGGTGAAGGATGTGTGGGATCATATCTGATCATTGCTGAGTATCAAATACTTTCCATTAAACAGCTGGAACACGGCTTCTCCTGACACCAACCTGTGTTAAAATAACAATAGGCATAAAAAAAGAATCAAATGCAATTTCTCCTAAAACAAGGAACTCATCTGGATTCACACGAAAACAGATGAGGCATGATATGGTATTGTCCCAGTTTTGAAATTGTCTCTGGGTTGGAGTGGTTTTTTGCATTCTGAAGAATATATTTAAAACCAATTTTTAAAGAATATATTTACAATGGCTTTATATAGCTTGTCAGGATGGGTTCCACGACCCTGAATTGGAAGAAGCAGTTAGAAAATGGATGGATGGATGTCTTTATTTAGAATACTTTGCGGATGTATTGTTCAACTTAAAGTTGAGATCACAAGATCACTATTTCTTCCAAGACAAATACATCTATGTCAACAAAACTTTGTTAGAGTCTACATCTTTGTAAATATTTAACAATGTGCCACATGTTCGATTTAAATTAGTGGGGTGATCTTCAAAAGTGACTCTAACACCTTTCTTTACTAATACTGTTGCAAATCACTGCAAAAATGGGACAGGACGGCACTAGAAATTCACAGCTTTAGAATGTGTCAAGGACGAGTTAAAATGTTTATTCAAATTCTGTCTTGTTTTGGCTGAAGTAACATTTCCGGGTGGGAAAAGAAGAGGAAACAGCAGAGGATGCTCTCCTGAACACAGAAATGTGAAACCTGAAATAAACTTTTGTTGCTATGTAAAAGATAATGTAGGTTTATTTTTTTCATTTTCATGATAAGTTTTAGTAGATGAAGAGGGCTACTGTGGGCCTTTCTCCCTGTCAATTGAAAAAACGCTCTTCATGTTTGCTGTGAATACAGATCTCTCAAAGCTCAAAGACTGTGGAAACATTGCACACCATTTACACACATAGCCTTGGCTCACCACGAATTTTGCATTTTGGATCTTTTGTTCACAACAAAATAAGATATACTGTAAGAGTCAATCTTCAGTAGCAGTTTAACTCCAAATGCAATTTAAAGAGTACCTTTATTATAAAAAACTTGTAATACATTTTTACACATTTAAAATAATAATAGCATATGAATAAGCAAGTAAACATTTAGACAGAACTTTAATTATCCCACTTTAATGCTAATTTAGGACCACAAAGTGGTTTTGCAGACTGTCGCCTTCAGTTGCTCTTTTTGTCTGTCATATAAATATTATACATCTATGGGATTCTATAACTTAAAATTCATCTATTGCTTCATATCAGTCAACACTGCATGGGCAACGAAATGTATTTAAGGAGAACAAATCACTATACTACTGGGAAATTCAAAGATGTCTTTTGATCTCATCTCAGAAAACACGCAGGTGTGCGTCTGTGGTGCTGCTTGTAAATTGTGGTGGTTGCAGTGGGCGGATTAAAGCTGCTGACTCCCAATCGGGATGTGAAACTATTTCATTTACAGAAAAATCCCTGCAGATTTATATCTCTAAACAATCTGGAAATAAATAATTTTATTTCAGGATACCCCCAAAGTTCAGAGAATCCTGAAAAGAGTTCATAAACCCCACAAAGTCCTGTCAAAATACTGAAACATGTCCAATGGTTCCTGGTCTTTATTCGAGAGGATATGCTGTGGTTTTCTCCCCACAGGACAACGCAGAGACAGTCTGTAAAGGAGGTCGATTATGTACTGTGAGTGGCTTGTTTTCTGGAAGCAATAAATGAGGGAACAAAAAAACATGTGAAGTGAGAGAAATACACAAAATTAAATGAATGCACAGTGACTGCAGAGTGCTATATTTGTTTACTGGCAACAACAATCATTACAGAATCAGACTGTAATTAAAATAATTACCTTACACCTTTTGTAAAATAATTGCTCTCGTTTCTGCAGACTGAAATTAAAAACCTTTAAATGCTGGTTTCCTATTGAAGTTCTTTGCTAACAAAGAATCTGTAGCAGTTGATGAAGGTGACTTCAACTTTGAGGATTTTGAATGCTTTAATCACAGTCTCATAGTCTTCTCTGTTCAACACCAAAAAGATGTCGTTTTTTTATATACAGTATTTCCTAACATTTATTTTTACAATTCTTTTACTTCATTCTATGTTATATGGTAATGATGTAGACATATTTAAGCCTTTTCCGTTATTTGCTTCTTGTAACCTATAGTGTTTCTCATTTTAAATTTATAGTCTAGGTTTTTGCTACCTCCACATAACACTCTGCACATTAAATATTAACTCATGTTTGCTTTGAATTCTATCTAAATCTTTTTCAAGTTCATTTTCAGCTGTTATACCTGTTTGCTAATCTATCATCAGCAAACATACGAGAATTGAGATAATTGATATTAAACAAGAACAGCAATGGTCCTAATACAGATCCCTGTGGAACTCCGTTCATTACTTTACTCCTCTTTGAGCATGCGCTCCTCATCTGTACTCTTTATTTTCTGTCCATTCACCAGTTGCCAATCCAAGTACAAGCTGCCTACAGGTATATACTGAAAAAGAAATAATTTATGAGGAAGTATTTTTAGAAAATCCCACTAAAAATCATCAGCTCAGTTTATGCCCATTGCTGCAAAACTCTCTAACAAGACAGTTAAACAAAACCTATTTTTTTTCTAAATCTATGTTGTATTTCTCCTTAATCAGATTCTGGATGTTTGTTTGCTTCAGTAACCTAGCTGTAACCTTACCTAGCTGTATAAATATACTCCATAGTCAATGTGTATAGAAATGTTGGTGATTCTGTGGGAACTAGGATTAGACTAGTGAACTAGGATTGAACTAGTGAAGCACAGCACTTTACAGGTCCTACAACTAATGCTAATTGCTATTAATCTTTTATTTCCAATGAATGCTGAATTTATCCTGAAT